CATAGACCTAGGAACCGCAGTCGAGATTGATGAGACGTTTGTTACAAGTAACACGTCGAGAAAAGCAAAGGTAGCTTCTATGGGAGAATGGCAAGAAAAGCATAAACAAAGAACGAAGTGAACAAACGGTGGGATTCTGATAGTTAAGAGTACGCGTCTCAAGTGATCTTAGTTAGGTGGTAAGTCGATCGCAAGCACAGATGTCACTTTTTCATTTTTCAAAAAAACAACAGCTCCACTGACCTCCAACGTTGGACAAAAAGACGAATCCGTGGAATCGTGAAGAATGCAGGAATAATCAGAAATACCAAAGTGGACGACAAGAACTTATTGGATCCTTTAACCCCCCCCTTGCGACGCTTTGGGGGTAATGACGGTTCCGCGGAAACGTGAGAGCCCCTTTTGTGTGCATTTGTGTGAATGGCACGCGACGAAGGCGATGCTCGAGAAAGGCTACGCTCAACGTTTTTCTACGGCTACTTGTTGGTATGGTTGTACGTTTCGTCCTCTTTTTGTCGTATGCTCGAACAAGTATGTTTCGGTTAAGGTCCCGTCCCATCTAAGGCGTTTCATGAGATTTTCTGCTTTTGTGTAGCTTAGCACCTTATCGCTAGTTACTTAGGACTACCCGTATTTTGCTCGCGCTTCGTGCCCTCCACGAGAATCTTCACTCAAAAGGTCTGCGTACAGGCCATTGAATTTTCTTATGTTTTCCAGCTTCATTCTTGAAAGTTGTACCAAAGAGAAGAATTGACTATTTCATTTTTTTTTCAGGTAGTCGAAGTTCTCCATCCTGGACGAGCCACTGTCCCTAAAACCGATATTAGAGAGAAGATTGCGAAGATGTACAAGACCACACCTGATGTTGTTATTCCGTTTGGCTTCCAATCTGCTATCGGAGGTGGAAAGACTAAGGGATTTGCTCTTGTCTATGACACTCTAGACTACGCCAAGAAGTTCGAGCCTAAACACCGCCTTATCCGCGTGAGTTTTTTCTTCAAATTCTCTAAATTCAAATACATTGCCGTTTTAGCATGTTTTTTGGCGCTAAATGGTTTCTGGTAGATGTATAGTAACACTAGTTGTTGGGTTGGGTGTTACGAAACTTGGTGTAGGGTAGCCGTAACGTGGGATAGGAATAGGTTTGACATAGACGAGGGGGTTGCATAAGTGTATGGGATCGAGCCGTTGATGAATGAATCACCTAATTTTTAAGCTGTTTTGTTATGATAACTGCTGTTTAACGCCGCAGTACGCGTTCCGAATGTTATCACAAGAATGCTGAGTTGTGGGCAAAAGTCGTGCCCCAGGCGGGAGTCGAACCCGCACCTCACGCTTTCCGGGCGAGTGCGCTATCCGTTACGCCACCGGCTCACCAAGTTAAACGTGTGAGTGCTGTAAGGTTACGGCATAAGCCGGTAAAAAAAAAAAAAACAAAAAAAAAAAAATAGCTGATTAGCGGTAAAAGCGGCTTGGCGGCGTAACGGATAGCACACCCGGGAAGCGCGAGATGCGGGTTCGACTCCCGCCTAGGGCACGACTTCTTGCCCATAACTCAGCATTCTTGTGATAACTAGTTTTTAATTACTAACCTCTGCCGTATCGGAATGCTTGATGGGCTTCGAGAAGTAGAAAGCATCGTATACTTAGGGAGAAGCCCGCCCGCCAGTCTCCAGCACCAACCCCATAAACCGAAGTATGTGTATATGTAGCGCTTTTGTTCCACTGCCGTTTTTTGCCGAGTAGAATTAAGGGGTTGAGATTTTCCGCGCCATCATCAGTACAAGTGTACATGTAACTGTAGCGCTTATAGCGCGGTGACTATCTGAGTAGAAAGAAACGATGGCAGTCTCTTCGCGATCTCCAGAAAATTGTGTTGTTTTTCGTTCAGTTACTTGTGTAGACCGAAAGAAATGGCATTCCGATGAAAACAATACTGGTCTATGAGGTACGCGTGAAACAGATTTCTGCCAAGTTCCATCAGCATTTGACGGGGCCAAAGAAAGGCGTGGTTCAGCGTTATCTTGGTGGAATGCACAGTATCGTTCCCTTCTAAGCGATTCTAATCCATTGCTTTCTTCAAATGGCCCCATTGAATGCAATATATTTTACAACCGACTGCTTGGTTGTGCCGCAGCGGCGCAGAATAAAGAGTACTCTCCCATTAAGGCTAACAATAAAGTCCACATATGGCATATGTGAACATATTTCTTTTTGGGATAGATCTAGTCGCCTTACTGGGATTACCAAACAGTCGTTTTTGCTGTGTTACAAGAGACAGTCCACTTCTCATCCTTCGTCATCAAACACCTCAGAGAGGATCAAACACTTTAGAGAGGGTGGATACATTGGGTTGAAGCTTCAAAAGACGACGAAATTGTTTCTAAGGCCGGCATGGGCAATTTGCCAACAATTTGCCCCGGCGCCAGGTTGCGGGACCCTACGTCGCTAGCTCCGCCCTGCCCCAATCGATGCGTGCAGTCCTCGATTATCGCTTTTAACACAAATTACGACTGACGTAACCAGCATTAAAAAATACGACATAGTATTACTGAATCGATATTTCCAAAGGCGGCACTCGCTGGGTGGAACGGGATTTTGCGAATTTTTTGCCAAATGACTGCCAGGACGTTTGTGCAAACAATCCTGTCGGTTAAATTAACCAAAATGGGGCCAGTTCCACAATTCTTAAACTGTTTATGGCTAAATATAAAGAAGTTATGGATTCCGGTCAACGCAAGCAGCAACAGACTAACTTACAAGACCTTATGGCCGTGTCGTTCTTCCTCCGTCCCCCACTTTTCCTCGGTCATTTGCCGAAGTTAACGTAGTGCAGGTGGCACACCTACTACGCGTATGTTCTTGTGAGTCAATTCCCTGGCCCTGTCCAGGCCAATCAATCCTTCTTCGGAAACAGTACACAGTGGAAGCGTCACCGCGGACGGTGGGGCGTTCCCTACGACCACGCCGGCGAGCGTTCCCGCTGATTGCGTGTCGGTGGAAAGCCGAGAAATTGTAGGAAATTATCATCATTGCCTCTCCGTCTCTGACACTGACTCTGCGCTCTAACACACCCGCCGCGCCCTCTACTCACTCTTCCGTCCTGCACTCTCGCCGATCAATTAATGGCGTGCCGCTGCGAGCACTGACTCCTGCCGAATTTTCTCCAGAATTCTGCCACATTCAGCTTGAAAAAGCTGAGATTTTTCGACTTTCGGCTTCAATTGTTGAAGGTGAGTATTCTTACTAAAACTGTACCACAATTTGCATGAATTTAGCTTGAAATTCCCCTAGAAAACATTTTTTTCCTTCTGATTTTCGCAATTCGTCCAAACTTTTCCTTATTGTCCCCACTTCTTTTATGTTATTGAACGGGTTTTCGAAGTAGTGTCTTAGATGTGATCTCGTTATTATCGAGAACCATCTCTGACTCCATTCTGAAGCTCGAAGTCGCTTTTGAAGAAAATGTGAAGAAGTGAAGAAAATCAGAAGGAAATAAAATGTTTTCTAGAGGAATTTCAAGCTAATGCAAGTTGTGATACGATTTTAGTAAGCATACTCACCTTCAACGACTGAGGCCGAAAGTCGAAAAATCTCAGCTTTTTCAAGCTGAATGTAGAAAAAATACCGCGAAAGTTCCGCAAATGGAGCAGTTATCGATCGGCGAGAGTCCAGAACGGGAGAGTGGGTAGATTGTGCGGCGGCGTGCGTTAGAGCGCAGAGTCAGTGTCAGAGACGCAGGGGCAAGGTTATTGCGGCTTTCGATCAACAGGCAAATATCGGGCCGCTAGCCAGCGTGGCCTTAGGACCGCCCCACCGTCCGCTGAGAACTGCACTGTAATTCAAACCAGCTTCACCAGGGATAAAAACTAAGTTGCACATCATTGTGGCTCCTGCAAGTCTTGGTGAGTGTCTTTCATAAGTCACTAATACATGAATGAAGTAGGATATGCGCCGCATCCCAAAAGGGATTATCCTTGTACACCCTCGCCTTCAACTCGTTTCAGACCCTCGCCTTACACGACTGCAGTTCGAGCTCCCTCCCTAGAGTTGATACCAATATCGGGAAGTCGCAAACTATGTCTCGTACATCGAATGCCATCGCAAGCCATATCAAGGCGATAATCAAAGAAAGCCACTACGATTCTGAATGGAAGTTCAATACGTCTCGCATTATAAAAAGTGTTGATCAATGGCAAAAGCTTTATCCTCTATTCGAAAAAATGTATTTACTATTGCAATGCGTGTACCGATGTCCAAGGAACGGCCAAGAATAGCATCGTGTGCTGTGCCAATGACCAGCTCCGTTTCGTTTCGGGCCTTTCGTGGACCAAATTAACTAACAGGAGCATCTCGTGCCAGAACGTTCAGAAAATACAGGAATTTACAAATGTGCCCAGTATGATGACAGACTTGCTTGTCCCAGTCCCATTTGAAAGGCAATTTCAGGCGCAGTTTGGGGAAAGACATTTGCACTTCTCTACTCCACCAGTTCCGCTTCCAAGACTCATGCCTGGTTTCTACAAGCTTCGGCTGATGTCATTTCGTGGCTTCACCAGATTTCACAGGTATTCACTGATGGCCCGGCCGTCGATGGGAAGCAGCAAAAGAGCAACTGTGCCCCCCCCCACTCCCCTCGCCGGCGCCGAACTGCGCCCGATTTTATCTTAAAATCGTATCAAATTAGTAACAGTCCACGTTTAGGCACCGTTCACAGCTTGCGATAAAGACGAGATGTAGAACGTATCGATTGGGGCAGGGCGGAGCTAGCGACGTAGGGTCCCGCAACGAATACCTGGCGCCGGCGCACATTGTTGGCAAATTGCCCATGCCGGCTTGTAGGAAACAATTCGTTCCCAAAAGACGACGAAATGCTATCCAAATAGCTGAGCTCGCTTAGTTAGTGGGGCACCGAACCAGACATCAAGGCGCCTATTCAAGTTAGGCCACATCAAATGGTCAGGTAGGGTTTGATTCGGCACTATGAGATTCCCTCGTTAAACGCCACATGTCTTTCGGAACACGAGCACTTTGTCGCTTTTTAAACAAAAGACCCACTATTGTACGTTGTCTATGGTGGCATTCATTCCCAGATCTATACTCGCTAAATGACTCTCCACGGATGAAAAATACAAAAAAATATTTTGAACTACACCGTAACTCCCAGCAGTCTCATTGTACGAGTTCTGCTCGTTTCTTGCCAGCGAATGGGTATCGACGCCTCTGGCTCACTTATCGTTTATTCGAGTCAGCTACTGCCAATACAACTCAACACTGAAAAGAGACTGAAAACGAATTGCCTTGAGCTTCAGTGGGCGAGGCAACTAGGGAGGCGTTAGAACTGCCAGTTATCAGGCCGCAGCGTCCTTACTTGCTGTAGAGCCCCGAAAGCGGGATAATCTTGGAGATTGAAGACCAGGCTACTTTTATTATATAAGATAGGACGCCTACGAATCACTTGAGTCCGCGAGCTGTCTTTAGGCAAGAAAGTCTACTGCCGAAAAGGCCCATGTTGGTCCTCGAATTTTACTTAAAAACAGCTCCCACGATAAAAGTGTCATGGATAGTTGCTTTTCAATTATGGAACAGTAGCCACTGAAGGCACAAAAAAAAACAATAAACCAAAAAAAAAAAAAAAAAATTTCGCGAGAGAAGAAAAAAGCGCAGAGTCCTCAAGAACGCCATTAACAAAGTCTCTCCCTGACAGTCACATCACCCTGCGGTCTCTTTGCAACAACCCCTGGCTCACAAATTCCCTTATCACATCCCCAGTAGTGTATCATCCAGTGCAATGAAAAGAATACGAAAAATAACAAAAACACGGAGAGAAACTCTTGGAAATGGAAAAGAAAACTCTCAAAAACTGAATGGAAAAGGAAACATCTCAAAACTAAGCGTTATTTAACTTCAGGGTTACGTAGCGCGCATCATGTTTAGTGTAGTGTAGTGTGTCGAGCTTTTGCACCACGAAAATTGGATCGCTCGTGATTTTTATGCGTTTTACCTTGCAAGATGGTTCGGAGTTGACTGTATGTGCTCTTAAATAAATAAATAAACTGTAATAAAGGAGAGCAGAATAATCATAGTCATGAGCGTAGTCAGCAAAAACATTCCGATTAATGCCCGCCGCCCCAACAAAGAACAACTGAGCGGCCCTCCGTCAGAGGGCATCTAGCAAGTGGGCGGTCCAACTGGGCGGGCGTTAGAACTAGAACTTCAGCAGCTGTAGCCGCTCCTCGCTCGCTGTGGAGTCGCGAGAGGGGACACTCTATAGCTTGGGGGCTGTACTACTTGCAGAAGGACGACCATGTACTACTTGAGCGCGGGGGCTGTCTTCAATTCCTAAGCAAGCAAAATGTAAGTATGCTGACCGAGACGGGACTATATATGCTAGATTCTGGGCCGCTCTGAAGATATATGACATGATAAGGTATCACACATCTTGTTCTATTCGAAAAACGTCCAAATAGCGTTCAGTCTTATCCAGATACTCCCGGACTCTGTCCCCGATGTTGAACGATTTCATGTGCTATTTTGGCCATTGGTTCAAGAGGCTGCGTTCATACTTTGAGACTCGGCATTTTGTCTATCTGTCGGTGCCCATAGCGCCTATTTGCTCAGAATGCTGATTTTCCTAACCGCCGAAGCGCAACCTATGAAAGCAGTCTGGAAGCGCTTCTGCAACCAAAGTCCCTGATGGTTGCAGGAAGCCGCTTCCAGACTGTTCCTTTGGTTACGTGCTCACGAACTAGGGTGCGACGATGTTCCGGCTGCAGCAAGCAGCAAATTATTGTGTATCAAAGTAGTATCTGATCGAGATCGTTCTGCGCACTCCATGCTTATCTCAATATTTCAGATGGGACTTGCACAAAAGGTTGACAAGGGCGGCCGCAAACAACGTAAGGAACGACGAAACCGGCAAAAGAAGGTGCGCGGTGTCAAGAAGGCCACAGTTACGGCTGGAAAGAAGTAAATCGACATGGGTCGTTGTTGATTTGTTTTGTTATGGTAACGTTGATAAAAACGTTGAAACCTGTGTGGCGTTGTAATATTCCGCGATGTCTAGAGTTTTCCTCTAATGTACTTTGTAAATCAAAAGAGTTACAACTATTACGTCTATAAATTTCAATCCTCTTTTGGTTTTTCAACGTCCTATGTCATCCAACGTCGGCTTACAACTCGATGAAATAGCAAAATGTAAGCGTTCTACGTTCAATTTTGCTTCAGTTACATCTGCATGGCAATGGTAGAGATCGTAGAATATGCTATTTCGTTCCACTTTGTAGGGTCGGGTAGAACTTTTTTTCACTTTACTTGGGAAATAAGAGGTGGTAAAGTTCTCTAGTTTATTCGATGCGATCGTGGATAACTGGATACGGTGAGCTGTTTTTGATGAGAGAATTTGGGATGAGCTAGCGAGTTCTTTGGTGTTGGGGTTAGAAATAGAAGTGTACGGTCCAGTTTACTCGCTCGTGAATAAAAAAAGCAATGGAATCTGTCAAAAATGCTCGGAATCAGGATTTTCCAATGCTAAGTGAGAGAAATTCGTTGCGCTCTCGGGCGAGAGGGCAGACAAGATCAGCGAGAGAACAAGCAAACGAGTAAGACAACCTCTGAGGTATCTATCACCGTGGGCGGAGTCACTTGTGCAGCCTTGTGCCTTATCGTCACAACTTTACAACATTCTGACTCGAAACGGTGTGGTCATGGGCCGTACCCTACAATTCGACTCTATCCAGTGTACATATTTCCACAACTAATCCATATTACTTGGAACCGGGCGCTTAATTGCAAGTGTAAAAGGAGTGTTCATGAAATGCACATCTTAACCTTCCTCTTATACGACCTCTAGTGAAATCAGAGACAGTGTCGGATTCATGAGGACTCTCCCTTCTTAAAAAGCACCTTTTCTCTTATGCTGACGAGTTAGAAGAATACCCTGTTGTGTAATTGTAGCGGGCTTTTTAGGGTGACATAAAAAGCCCACTAACACGCAGAACATATCCAATTATTTGGAGGCTTGTGTATGCTTCTAGTACACATCTTTTGGTCAAAACTGTTGCTGCTTGCCTATTGACGTGTCTCTTCTTTTTACTGCAAAACATAAATAATTTTTTTACGGTCCAAAGATTGTGCAACATCTGAGAAGGGCTGCTCTCCTCGCTTCTGAATGAGCCCTCACGGCTGTTCTTTTTCTTAAGTGTTAAGCCTTAAGGGGGCCCACTTTTGCGTGAAGGAAGTGAGGCGTACTTGTGCTATTTGATCACTACACCTACTCGACCAATCCGATTTCAAGTTGGTCAGTACAGCTGGCCAGGCATCAAGTCTTAGAAAGGGAAACCTTCCTTCGTGCTCTGCTAGCGCAGCAGCCCAATCCGGAGGCGGGACCAATGTGAGACTTTGAAATATTTAAGACTCTTGAAAAGTCACGTTGTATTTGTTCTGGTGCTTGAATACAAAGGAAGGTGAGCGGTAACAATTTTAGTCTGCTATAGGGATGCGGATAGAGGATCTCTGTTGAGCTATAATTTCTGGGCATTCCTGGACCATCGGTCTTTTTAATGCTCTGTTGCGTTCAACCCTTCATGCCGTCACAATGTGACATACAGAATCATTACATGGAAATTAGCCCGTCTCGTTCGTACCGCTGATTCGAGGTTCATGAAAGGCGTTCAGGTCTTGGCCGTAGGTGTATAAGCTGTTGCTATTTGCTTCGCGGGCAGCTTTTACGTATTAAAGGGTGCATAGTTCTAAGTGTGAAAGCAATAACCAGGAAGTTCTTTAGACATTGATCGAATGAAGGAGCAGAAAAGGACTACAGAAAAATGCATTGAGGATATTGAGAGAGACAAATCAGGGCTCGAAGAACGAATTGAGGTGAACCGCTCTCGGATAACGCTTGTTTCCTGTCATCATTTGTTTTTTTGCTTACAGGAAATGAAGCGTAAAAGAGATGAGTTAGATGACAGGTTGCGCGTGGAACAAGAGAGGCTTCTTCGACAAGAACGCACCATTCGACAAGTATGGCTCTATATTTTTTGTTTCTTGATTTTTTTTTCTTGAAATTCGTTTTATTGGTAAGAGAGCTCGCAAACATCTGGTTCTATAGACGTGGCAATTTTGAATTTCCTTCTCTCCCTAAGGACGCACATTAAGAAAATGAGCAATTTATTGTGATGTTATAATCTTTGGACAAGTGTGGGCACCTATTGTTTGGTTTCACCACTACATTTTCTGTACCATTATATCTTGATACACCCTTCACCCTTTTGTCTCTTTTTAACACATACTGCACGGGGTCAGAGTACGGGGCCGTGGAAAGTCGTAATTCCTTGCTACGCCGCCCGTTTCGCAAACTCACGTTTTTACTAACACCGTCCGCGCGGCGCGGTCGCGTGCAGCTCTCTTGGCTTTTTGCCAAGTCCTGTAATTGCGCTTTGGAATACAAGTACAACGCAATTTCTTTATGCGGATAACATTTTAGGTGCTGCAAAATAAGAACCGAAGATGATGACGAGGGCTAGAACTCAAGAGCAACTGTGGTGCTTCTGCAATATCCCTCAGAGGCCGCGCATTCCCACAGAACATGACAATAAAAACGGACAACATGACAATAAAACATGACAATACAAGCAAAACGCAATTTCCTAACATTTGAGGTATTGCTCATGCTTCAAAGTCCGAATAGAAGGTGATGAAGATGACAAAGGCTAGAAATGAAGAACAACGAATGTAGATGTAAATAAAACAAAATTGAAAAAACTAAGGAAACGCAATAAATTAAAATCGCGTGTGCATTTCTGCGATCCGGCTCGAATCCGGCTCTAAAGCTATAGAAATACTTCCGAGTGGGACGCTTAGGCCGTTTTTATTTTCATGTTTGTGGGAATGCGCGGCCTCTGAGGGATATTGCAGAAGCAGCACAGTTGCTCTTGAGTTCTAGCCCTCATCATCTTCGGTTCTTATTTTGCAGCACCTAAAATGTTATCCGCATAAAGAAATTGCGTTGTACTTGTATTCCAAAGCGCAATTACAGGACTTGGCAAAAAGCCAAGAGAGCTGCACGCGACCGCGCCGCGCGGACGGTGTTAGTAAAAACGTGACGAAACGGGCGGTGTAGCAAGGAATTACGACTTTCCCACGGCCCCGTACTCTGACCCCGTGCAGTTTTGGGCGGGGGGACCACGACACATCGACAGCTGGGGGGCTGATAGTCTCATACACCCTCAATGTGTTTGAGCGTACCATGTGTCTTTAAGTACTGTGTTGTACTGAGTTGTATTCAATATATGCAACTTAATACAACTGTTAACAAGACAGTTGTAACAAGTGAACGTTTTATTCAATAGCGCTTCCCATTCTACTAAAGGTCACTATAAATGCGACTTGATGCTAAAAATGAGTTCTCCGTGTCACCGCTAGTGGTAAACTGTTAACCATGCGCTTATCCCTTTCGCTGATTTCGTGGCAGGCCAAATCTGCGCTCTGCATAGAACAGCAGCGTCGGTGTGACTTCCGACCTCCCTCTTAATGTAAACCTCAGTACGACCAACCACTCTTAATGTAAACCTCATACGACCAACCCGGGAGGTGAGTGGTGGGGGGGGGGACTGACAGCTATCTGCGCTCAGTTTCTGGATCTTCTGTCGTGCAGGCATCTCTTTTCTGAGTCATTGTATAAATTTGATGTCTTATTCGAGTAATATGATGCTATGAGCAGCCATACCTTTTCTCACTGGTGCCCACTTCAACGAGAGGGTCGAAGATTCTCTCTCACCAGCAATGGCCTTCCTTCTAACGTGAGGTTCGCATTTCGAAATTATCCGTTTTGTAATTGTTGTGGAGAATTGCGAGCCAGTTGGGAAACTCACTCTCCGGCCTCCATAGCACATCACTTCGTTTGAATACTTGAGTTTGCTTCTGTAACACCTACTTTCGTCGACGTGAATAGGAAGTGATTTACTCGGCTCGACTGATTGCACTTCTCTTCTGCCGTGCATTTAGCTCACAACAGAGCTGGTGGGAACGTATAATATGTAGGAATTGTCTGCCCGGGCGGTGAAATGTGTTCCTGCAGTATGGGGAGAAGTCTAGAACTTCACCATCCTTCATTTGATGTTGGCCACCCCCAGTTCTCGTCACGCTCTACCTACCTAGCTGTTAAATAGGGCCCTTCCCCTAGTTGGGATTTTCCGTAACGACGATGCACTCTGTTCAGGAGCACTCCGTACGTATAGCTACTTTGGCAACATTTTTTAGCAGATCAGGGGTGATGTCAGCAGGCTGTTCAAATTGTCACGCGGTCGGAGTACTAGCGTGACTTGATGACGGCGGCCCACAGTAAAGAGACTGTGGAATTTACTGCAGATCTGAGAGTTACTATATCCAGCAGCCAGAAGATGGTCTAGTGGTTAACGTGCCAGGATCTAACTGAATTGAAGGACTTGTGGTTCGGGTCATCATGCTGGCGAATCTAAATTACTTTTCCATAAATCTAGCAGAATTGATTACTTTTTTAATGAACCTTGTAAAAACTCATTCTCACATGATTGTAGGGAGAAGCCACATACGCTAAGTTGATGGACTCATCGCAGAGCCTGGTCGACTTTATGAAAAAGGAGTATCAGGATACTCGTCGTCAGTAAAAGTGTGCTTCCAATGCCGTTGTGCTTTTGCTCCTGAACAACCAGCATCCTTTGATTTTGTTCACCGCTTTAAGATCAAATCTTGCCGCTTACTCACATTGTCATTCTTGTAAATATGCTCCATTTATCTCATGTACAGCACCTGTTTGTTATTCTAAGATCGCGACTAGACCTCATTTCATCAGCTCACTTATCGCTTTCAATTGTCACTTATTTTTTTAACTCATCTCTTCTCAAAAGGCGTAACACGAGTATGTAACATTATTTATTGATTGTTCTCATGATTGAACCTATAAAGGCATTTTTGTCTGTTTCACGTGTATCTGCAAGTGCGCATGCAGAGGAGATTATCAAGCACAGGCTTGAAAGTCATCAGGGCATACATATCCCTCCCAAAGGGGATCATCGAGGGCGTGAGAGGGTGAGAGCGGAGGAGGAGATTGTTTTATTTGCTTTTCAGGGAAATGTTTTCGGTTGTTGACTTTTTTTAAGATTTTCTTGCTTCACGTGCTCCGTGCGGCGCTCTTATACCACTCCCTTCCCCTCAGCACTTCACGGCATGCAGTTTTTCTGGGGAAGAAGTGGAGGAATTCGGAAGGGGACTGATGGAGAAAATTTAGAACGTTGTAGGATGATGTTAAATAAGATGGGAGATGTGGAAGGCAGGTTGTACCAGAAGGGGAACTTTTGAGAGGGATCGAACTTTTTAAATTCCCATTAAAGACACCCCGCGATCAAGTGGTCCTCAAAATGACTTCGTGCTTTTTGGAACCCTCTACGCCTTGACGAAGATGATACCACTTTCATCCCTCAATATGGCGCGATAAGGAAGTTATAGCGATTTCCACAAGGCTCGCTAGGCTCGCTGACACGGTAGGTCCCGAGCTGCTTCCGTCCCTTTAAAGTATCCTATTTAAAGTCGGGACGCAATTGCGGCTGCCGCATCGATTTCTGGCAGCCACGTCCGGCACACTCGTCCAGGCCCCGCCCCCACTGGAGGTCTGTGTTCAGGGTGTTCGCGAGGTTTTTTTTCGATTTTTTTTCCACTGGGGGGTTACAAATGGGCCACTGCTTCGTTACTGGGCACCAATTACCCGAACACTTTGATCGCGGTAAGTGTCTTTAAGTTTATGGAAAATTTATAAAGCTAGAATGCTCTGTCAGGGACCTGGGGATTCCTTTTGATGTTCGGCTGGCATCTGATGGGCACATTGAGATGGTCGCAAAAAGGCCATGAGGTGCCTTTTCCTGGTATTAAGGAATGTGCAATGTAACGACCCCAGTCTCCTTGTCAGGCTGTACAACATTTATATCCGGCCTTATCTAGAGTCTGGGATGAAAAAACACGAGAACAGGTCAAAAAACGATTACAGGACTCGCGTTCTACATGTGTTTTCCTAATTCGGAATACCCCCAGGCACTTCCAATCTACCAAGATCGCCTGAGAGCGCTGAAGATGAGGAGTCTGAAATACCGAAGAATTTTTAATGACCTCGTATTCGCTTTTCGCATTTTTAGGAGAGAGTTAAATTAGCAGCCAGCAAATACTGGATTTTCCGACCGTACAGGAGGGTTGAGTGTGGAATCACAATCCATTACAAGAAATTAGAGCGACATCGTTTAATGCTGTGTTTCATTCTTTCTTTTTCCGAGCGGCCAGGTGGTTGCGCATGCTACCCCATGATATGCTTTCCTGTAGTAATTCAAAGGAGTTCAAAGCACGTTTGAAGAAATCTGATATTTTCAGAATTCTGAAAGTTGAGGATGTACGGTAGCAAGATAGTAGTGGAATTTTGTTTTGCCATACTCTCCGAGCTCTTCTATCAGTCGATCTGGACTACTCTGGGGACCTACTTCTGTATTTCCGGGACTATGTTCTGCTCATTGTTAACACCGAAATTTTGCTAGTTAGGTAGTGAATTCTCCAGTTGGGAGGCAACGAAGTATTCTAATAGTTTCGCCCTGAGCTTATCACTTGAGGAGATAGTTCAATAATGGACCTAATAGATGGCGGGTCAGAGGCTGGATTGTTAGGGATAGGGAATACCTAACTTCCGAAAATTCAGTCTCTGATTCCATATTTTTGCCCTTTGCTCGTCCGAGAGTGGCGTTTTCCCTGGTGCCATCCGCCGGAATAATGTGAAACAATTTTTTTTCACATTATTCGTGTTTATTTCACGTACACACACTACAGCTCGGGGTGATGAGACAGGTGGCTTCTTCTTCTTTGTTTCCTACTACATACTCGACTGGACAATTCCTTACCTATGATGAACTTTGTAGGTAGTAGTTATATTTATTCTACTACTCCGCTGACATTTTGTGTCCGTTCTGTGCCGTTTGAGCTCATTCGTGTGCTGTTCTTTTGAGTTGTGTTTCGTTTCTTTGCTGTTTTGTTTTTCTTTTTCTTTTCTTTCCATTCTTCTGCATTTTTAGTTGCCGACCTGATTATGGTATCAAGGAATGTAGCGCACCTAGGAGTGCATATAATAAATAAATAAATTAATTAATTAAGGGCGGGACGTGTCTGGAACTCATTCATCTAATCAGCAGAGTTTTACAGGGTCTTTTTGACAGTACAACTTAGTTGGCCTTGAAATCCACGCATGTTTTAGCTGACATTTGGAACTCTCACCGGTTTGTGATGCGCCAATTCTATATCAAGTTCAAGTTTTACGGGCATCAGATACCAGGAAGTGTGGAAGATCGAAATGAACACTTGAAATAAGATAAATACCCCCTGATGTGTCTTCAGGCAGTGATTTCGACTTAACCTTCCATATTTGCTGCGATCCTATCCCTAACAAAGATACGAAGGTTTCTCAGAGAAGCAGACACACTTACAATACGAATTTCGGGCGTAAGGCTGCTTTCAGTGTGGAGCCGAGTTCATGTGCTCGAGCTCATTTCCATAAATCGACTGTACTCTGATACAGATCGCTTCCCATCCAATGCAGTTTTTCATTTTCATTCATTTTCATTTTCTTTTTTTCATTCATATTTTGTAAACTGCGCCGAAAGGAGGTCAACGTGTTGATTGTGCTGTATGCTGCGCCGAATGTCTCGGTAATTCTACAGGGGGGGGGCCAAAAAAAAAAGTCATTTTGCCTCCATGACTTTCAAGGCGCTATAAGTTACACTTTATTAAATTTTTATCGGACATTTTTACTACCATCTTAAAGAGCACATTGAGTACTATAATGATACTCCGCCACAGCCTTCTGAAGGAGCGCCATCGAGAGATTCGGCCGCGCGAAAGTGTGGGTACCGGAGTTGAGCGAGATCGTTGATTTCTCCGCCACTGTAGACCACCCTGTTGAGCTCCGCCCGAATTTTCCAGGTACTCAACGTTCTTCGTTTCCAAGTAGGCGAAAGTTTTTTCAACGCCCTTCGATTTCATGTGGTGGTACTCAATGCTGTAGCAGTACAAAGTTTCCAAGAAGGTACGGGCGACCACATGTAGGGAGGATATCCTTCTCGAGTTACTTGATGTAACCGCCAGCGCTCACCTTCAGTCGGGGTCTACAAAGAAAATATCGGTCTTCCCATTCCAGGTACGGCCGGTCCACACCATCAACCCGCGCCTTGGTGAATGGGGTGAAGATGATGTCCTGGACCGTAGCGACGTTGCCGTAGCTGGTCGATGTGGGAGGTCTTGCAGGTCAAGAGTACTGACCTCCAGGTAGCTATCTGTGGATGACTTCATTCAAGAAGTTTCAGCTCCAGCTGTTTGGAGGCGACGTGAATTCCAAAGGCGTTCTCCACTCAGGCCGCGACTGGAGATGACTTCATATTTTGGTGTACATGAAGGTGAATGGCGGCAGCCGGCTCCTGCTTATAGAGGAAGATCTTGGGTATCTTCCGCCCTGGTACTCATATCCACTTCCTCTGTCTGGGCTGCGAAAACTTCGCTCATATGTGACTCGGCCGGAATGACTTTTTTTGGCCCCCCCTGTATGTTTTCGTATGATTCACGCCAGCTTTTCGGGGCGTGGCGAGACGGCAGCTGTACGCTACAAGGGGTCGACCGTGTGATGTCAGGTCCGAAACCTGCAGCCCATCCCTGCCAGCCTCCATGAGGTCGATGCACCGTTCTTTCCTTGTGCCTGGCGAGTTTCTGCGAGCAATACTCGTCTACAGTTATCATCCCAATAAGGGAACACAAGGGCATCACTCGATGTTCAAGTACCCCTCCTGGCATTCGGTAGTTTATTACAGAGCATGCCGCGTTGAGCCTCCTTTTGTAACGGCGTCGGCTTCCTCGGGCGGTGGCGGTAGAGGAGTCGTCGAGGCAGGTGCAGCGGTAGACGGAAGACCAGAATGTCCGGAGTACCTTACTGGGATTTTTATAGGCTACTTTCCGCCAAGCCCGCCTTAAGTTACCCAACAGTAAGGCAGTGGGTTATCAAAGTATTGATCAGTAGCATTCGCTTTGACATTAATCTGGGACGTTCGCTTTGACATGACGCCCCGTACGGGAAGCGGCGTCCCTGCCGCTTCGATGAAAAGGAAACAAAAAAAATATAAGCGGTAATGATTACCGTTGATACCGCAACTATTTGGGTCCACAAAAAATATTTATGATATCTTTATACTATAACGAACAAAGTATACCAAACCGACAACATAGTATCTTTAAACTATAACAAACAAAGTATAAACAAACATGGAAAAGAACATCGAGTGATCATTGAGTACGAATAAAAGACGAGCGATTAATTGCTGCTGCGTGGGCGCCATTGCTTGTGGTGTGCTAGGGTCGGGGGCACCATCGCTGTCCATGGATGGCATGACAGCACTGGGTATGCCCTCCGGAAACCTGGAAACCTCCGGAATGGCCCGGCGACGAGACTGAGCTGATTGCCTTGAGTTATCTTTTGAAACTCCTAATAGTTTCTTGCCATCCTTCCTATGTTTGTAGTATTGACGCGTCCGTGATATTCGATTTTTTTGAAGCCCCTCGAGCAGGGGGAGTTCCATTTCCGCTTTCACATGGCTGCGAAGTGTATCAAAGTATTCCCTTATTACCTCAGTGGAGTACGCTTCTGTA